GGCTAAGGAACTGACGACGTTGTTTACAAAGGTTTGGGAACTAGAGAGTGTACCAACGTCATGGAATGAGTCAATAGTTGTCCCTATCTTTAAAAAGCATTCACGTCGTTCCTGCAACAACTATCGGGGGATAAGTCTACTTCCGATTGCGTCCAAGCTATTGGCTTCCGTCATACCTCGTAGGTTGTTCAAAACCCGAGAAAGATTGACTCGCGAGGAGCAGGCTGGGTTTCGTTCTGGTCGAGGATGTATTGATCATCATATCATATGTGCGATAATGCCCAAGGCATGCAATCCGCACTTAATCAGTTGGCAATCAGTGTCCGTAGGTAAGGTATGTGCTTTGCACCTTCGAAGTGCAAAGTACTTTTACAAGACTGACAGGATTCTAATCCTGTACTCACTCTGGATGGTGAGCAGATAGAAGTAGTCGAGAAGTTCATGTATCTGGGTAGCTGCATAAGTGCTGATGGGGATTTGAGTGGTGAGATCAATGCACGTATAGTGAAAGCCAGAGCGGCTTATGCCAATCTGGGCTATCTTGGGCGCCTTCGTGATGTTAGTCTGGCTGTAAAAGGTCGGATCTACAACTGGTCGATGAGACCAGTTTTGCTCTATGTTTGTGAAACCTGGCCTCTCCGAGTTGAGGACGTTAGACGACTCTCTGTGTTCGATCATCGCTGTCTCCGAAGGATTGCTGACATTCAGTGGCAACACCATGTTAGTAATGCAGAGGTTCGGCATCGTGTGTTCGAGCACAGAGACGATAATGCAATCAGTGTCACCATCTTGAAACACCCACTTCGGTGACTTGTACATGTTCTACGAATGTCGTCCCAGAGAATTGCACGTCGTGCATTATTTGCCGACTCTGGGACTGGTTGGAAAAAGCAGAGAGGTGGTCAGTGTATAACATGGTGTCGTGATATGAAAGAAAGCTGTAAAGGACTGGCTTGTGTCGGTTTGACAATTACTAGCAACAGAAGTTGCAACCAGCCTGCTAATATCAATCCGCTGATGGCAGTCACTTCGTTGGCCACTGAAAAGTAAGGTGAGATAGAAGTTTATTCTGTTTAATTTAGATACAAAACATTTTCCAAATAAAGAACTGTTTCTCACGTCATCTTTTGTGGCATTATTTACCGACACTGGGACTGGTTGGAAAAAGCGGAGAGGTGGTCAGTGTATAACATGGTATCGTGATATGAAAAAAAGCTGTAAAGGACTGGCTTGTGTTTGTCCTTCACGACTCCCTGGCTGGGATCCTAGAGATGGTGAAACACAGTGGCTAGATACGCTATCAGATATGGATTAGAATAGAAGCCAGTGGGGATCCTGCTGTTACTTTCTTTTACTTTCTTCATAAAAAGTGGCTGCAACTTCTTTGACTAAAAGAATTCTTTCTGGTTGTACCTTTCCGTCCCCCTATCTTTACCATTATTATTACACCACCTTACACCAACCTCTTCGTTATTATTCTCTCTCTTTTTTCTTTTCCTTCCCCTTATATTCTCATTGTTTTGTGTGGCGCATATATATTTGGCGCATTCTTGTACCAATATTTATGTGTTCAAATAATAATAATAATAATAATAATAATAATAATAATAATAATAATAATAATAATTTGCTTTTGTCATAGGGAAGTGAATATCACACATGCATGAGATATATAATTTGGAAAGTCAAGGTAGATTTTTAACTCCATGGCAAGATTTTACCAGCCAATAATGTACCAGGGCGGCTGGCGAATGTCCAAGTTGACTACTTTCAAAACGTTCTTAGTAGCCCGCCACAGAAAGAAACCCAAGTTGTATATTCATCTGTTTCATTAAATTACCTGTCTAACCAGTTTTACGAGAATATTACACAGAAAAGATCATTACAAAGGTGTTCACCTGAATTTAGGTTGTAGTTTAATTGTTTGCTTAGACAATGGTACAAAGAATCAATATTTGACAGGAGTGTTTTGTTTTGGACTTTTTCTCATTTTATATTTGCTCTTTGCTGCACTTATTCTAGTTACCTTCAAGTGTATCAAAACTAGGTTATGTAATTTGGACTTTTGTGAATTTTTTTTTCTCAAATGTAAAGTTAGTTTTTATCAGCTGGTGGTATTGATAAACATCTGTTTCACACTGGTTCAAGTTTCTTCAACTGGGTGTTACTTACTTACGCTTGTTACTCTAAATGACCAGCATCCTCCAACCCACTCTGTCATGAACCTTCCTTTCTAGTTCTATCCAATTGTTTTTTATTCTTCTCATATCTGTCTCCATTTCTCGGAGTAATGTGTTCTTCGGTCATCCTTTTCTCCTTTGGCCTTGAGGATTCCAAGTAAGGGCTTATCTTGTGACGCAGTTTGGTGCTTTCCTAAATATGCGTCCTATCCACTTCTAGCGCTTCTTCCTGATTTCTTCCTCCATTGTGATCTGGTATCTTCTCTCCCACAATAGGTTGTTGCTGATAGTGTCTGGCCAACGAATCCTAAGTATTTTGTGTAGACAACTGTTAATGAACACTTGTATCTACTGGATGATGGCTTTCGTATTTCTCTAAGTTTCCGCCCCATACAGTAGAACTGTTTTGACATTTGTATTGAAGATTCTGACCTTGGTGTTGGTTGACAGACAGTTGTTTTGAGTTGCAGATGTTCTTTAGTTGTAAATATGCTGCTCTTGCTTCGCCGATCCACGTCTTCACATCTGCATCAGATCCACCGTGTTTATCAATGATGCTGCCCAGATATGTAAAGGTTTTTACATTCTCCAAAGCTTCTCCGTCAATTGTGATTCAATTGGTGCATGTCGTGTTGTATTGGAGAATCTTGCTTTTCCCTTTGTGTCTACTTAGACCTACTGCTGCTGAGGCTGTTGCTTGGTGAGCATCAAGTGATGATCTAATGCTATGTCAGCTCCTTTCCTGGTTCTCACATCCTGCATCCTCCTCCTGAACTTTTGTTGATGCAGATATGGTCGATTTGGCTCTGTGTAATGTGGTCCGGTGAAGTCCATGTGGTTTTGTGAATGCGTTTATGTAGGAATATGGTGCCAACTAGGGCCAGTTTATTGAAGGCACATATGTTTGCAAATCTCTCACCACTTTCGTTCCTTTCTCCCAGTCCATGTCGTCCTATGATGTCTTCCTATCCGGTGTGGCCATTCCAACCTTGGCATTGAAATCTCCCATCAGGATGGTTAAGTCCTTTGTTGGACACTTCTCGATGACTGACTGCAGCATATCGTAGAATTGATCTTTAACGTCTTCGTTGTAGTCGTTGGTAGGTACATAGCATTGAATGACGTTCATTGAGATGCCCTCTTTGTTTTGAAGGAGGCTTTGATGATCCTTCGTCCATGAGGTTCCCATTCTCTAAGTGCATTTTGTGCTTGTTTTTGATAGCACCAATGCAACTCCTTGTGTATGTGGAGCATTTTCTTCTTCATCGCCAGAGTACAATATAAGCTCCCTTGAAGCTCGTCGTTGTTGTCCAACTTGCGTCCAATGTATTTCACTGATTCCAAGCACCTCCAGGTTGTATCTCCTAATTTCTGCAGCAATTTGGAAGACTCTCCCGGTTTCCTACATTGTACGAGCATTCCATATACCTAAATAAATAGTTGCTGTGGTTTTCAGAAGGGGCATCGGCCTCGTGGCTTCCGAAAAAAGTCGGTTTTCACCATGAGGCGTCATAAATCTTCTAAATGAAGACCTTATCTGGGCTTGGGACCGACGGTAACCCTAGAGGGGTTCCAGGCGGAGTTTTCAACTAAGTATACATATTATTCAATAGGGAATTGTTCCTTTCATGTCTCAATCCAAGCAAGTTATCTTACAACTATTGTATTACAATGCAATTGTTCACATTTCTAATTTCAGTCAATATATGATATAAACTCCTACTGTTATCAATCCATTTCTATTTGTCGAGCTCTCGATGTAACAGAACTTCACGGATAAAAGTGAATAGATGTTTACACATGTATTATTTCATATATAAGTTAATTCATGACATGAAAGGACGCATAAATTATATAGCTTGAGATTTTGAGTAGAATTGGGCGATATATATATATATATATATATAGTGGTTTGTAGTTATTCTCAGTATGGGGATTTGTAAAGGTTGCAGTATTTTCACAATTGAATTCACGAGTCTCGAACTAGAACGAAACAGCCATTCAGTGCTTCCAGGTTTTCAACGGTGGTCTAGCTTTAATCGACTCGTGCCATAGCTTCAATTGTGCATATATTCCCCATCCAATCCTTTGAACCAATTCTTTTAACATTGTAGATGATTTTGAACAATGTTTCCCGTGATTGTATGTAACTGGAGGTGACTATAGCTTTAGATTTTTCCTTTTCCGAGTCCTTAAATTAATATAAGCTTTGTGATGTAATATGGAATGCAGTCTGAATTTTATACATAGAAGAAATATATCCTTGTTTTGCTTTTAATTTAATGTTAAACGTTTATCATTATCTTCATTTCAAATAGTTTCAGCTTTCCTTGATTATTTTTCATAACCCCCTTTGGTTTCTCCATTCATAATTGTTTCTGGCTATTGTTTTACTTCGTCTACTTCATCTGTACGTGTATCAGTATTTATGTATCCAACAATCGCCTACCTTGATACATAATATTTGCTAATGTAGGAGTTGGTTGAAAAAAGTTTGAATCTTTCGTACCAAGTTATGACATCAGTCTATTAATTGTTAAATTGAGTTTTGTTTGTAACTGTGGACTACCTAGATAAGTTCAGCGCGATTATCCTGATCATTGGCTAGAAGCATTTTGGGAAATAACTGATAATCGTAATATAACTTCTACCATTTTAGTATTCTTTTTTTGTACTAATGTGATATCGCAGGTTCTACATTGATTATAGTTGTATACTTTCAGTCGTTCATTTTTCTCTGAATAATTATTTACTGACTTGACCTGTTAACTTTTCTTGATAAAATTTCATGTATTCATTTTAATTCTCTTTCACAATTAGACTGATCATATGCAGTCATTATTAGAATTCGCAACATCACAAGCGGATTATCATCGTCAAGCTGCAGAGATTATGGAACAATTGAGGAAATTTTTAATTGAAAAGTAAGTTTACTGTTTATATTCTGTTTTCACCGACATTTATATTCTAACTTATTTATTTTACTTATTTAAACACATAAATATTAGTACAAGGAGGAACCAAATAGATAAACGCCACATAAATCATTCGATTTGTGTGAGGGCTGGAATACTGTTCGGGTGCCGAAACCTAAACAAGTGATTTTCTTAGGGGACCACAACCAGAGCCTTTGTCCTAAACGTCTGATCCACAAGGCAGTGGAGCAACATCATTAGATTCAGATGGTAGTCGGCAACCAGCAATAGGTTCATACACCATTCGTCCCCTTGGGATCCTGGAGTACATGTGTACCATTGGTTCGGAATGAGGGTTTTTCAACTCCTCTAGGTGGACTCTCCATATCCACCAACCCGGTTAAAGCGCCGGACATTCGCTTTTCGTCCTCCTAATTTCGTAAACGACGGTAATGCAGCGAGAAGGCAGTGAGTAGGACTACCGTAGCAGTAGTTGTATGCACGTGACCATATGAGAGCATTTCGAGTGGGAGAGCTGACTCTCCCCACTCTCGGCCGTACCAGGGTGTTTGCGGGTAGCAATTATATCTTTGTTTCAACTTGATACAGAGTGAGTTGTAAGTTTCTATTATTAAAATAAAGGTACTCTAAAGTCTTTATGTCTTTAGAAATTTTTAAGTGGATTTGTCAATCAAACTCATCTACAAATTAAACAAATATCTAATGCTATGTGATTCAATAGTTTACTATTTCTTTTTCAAAAAATTTGCTTCCTATCTGTACACAAAAGTCAGTGGTTGTAGTTTTCATATATTGAGTGTGGAAACATGTTTTTTAGATAGTCTTGTATATCTGATATGTTATTTGAACAATGAAGGTTATCACGGCAGTAAGTGACACATAAATCATGATTAGTCCCATTCTTTTTTGTCTATTCTAGTAAAATGTGTGAAACATGGCCGGTAAGAATAGAGGATATTCGTAGGTTACTAGTATTCGATCATAGGTGTCTTCGAAGCATTGCTCGTATATCCTGGGACCACCGAGTGAGTAATGCATTGTTAGGAAACGGGTAATAGGTAAGGATAGCAAATCAGTTGATGAATTGGTGGAACTTCATCAGTTGAGATGGCTGAGACACCTGTCACGTATGCCCGACTACCGACTGCCCCGACGTGCGATGTTTTATGGTGTAGGAGTAGGTTGGAAGAAATCTAGGGGTGGCCAGGCCAAAACATGGCACAAGTTCATGAAGTCACTGACAAGTGGACTGAGCCATGTTGCTAGGTGCAGACTACCTGGTTGGGGACCGCGAGATGCTAGCAACCAATGGTTAGAGATATGGCTCAAAATCGTTTGCAATGGTGTGAGCAGGTGCATACTCCTTGAATAACATCTTCAAAGTCTAGTCTTCCCGATTACTGTTTATACTTTTACTACCTTTGCCACTACGGGATTTCAATCGACAACTGCATCTCTGTGCTAATGTGGTATAGCAACTCTGACTGATGTACATACGTACAAAGTTCTACGTTGTTGCTGACTGACTAACGTTAATCACTAAAAGTCAGTTGTTACATCCAATAACTCAGTAATTATTAGCATAATACAGATAGTAAAACTGGTTGACGCAGGTTCAAATCCTCCAGGAGATATCGATCCCATCGTGATTTCAAATACACCTGGTTGTTGTTTAATGTAAATTAGCACGAAATATTGTCCAATCAGGATTTTCTTCCGACTACCTTCAATAATCTAACACTAAGAGGCAGATAATAGATTCTGTTTCGCTGTTGTTACAATGAATTTTTTGTTTTATACTCAGTGATTGCGACGTTCGACTTTCAATCACTTAGTCTCAGGTTTGAATCCTGTTCCACTTACTTCGGTTTGAGTAACCTAGTGGTGTCACTAGCTCGTACCCAACACCTCTTAAATAAGTTAATTTATATAATTTACTTTAAATGTATGACACTATTTTTGTATTAGTTCAGTTAAAGTGAGTGAGTCTAAAAAGAAGAAAAAATTGTTTCAATAGAAGTATTTAGAACGTTTGATGTACATCGATATACGGCACGTATTTTGCAACCAAGTACGAGGTGTTTCTGCAAGTCTGACGATAGAATATTCCTTCATTTACCCTTTTGGTGATCCTTCAGGGTTAATCTAAAAATTAATGCATCTAGTTAGTTTTTTGAGAGTCTACGCGTGGTGGTGGCGTCATAGATGAAGTTAATTTTCACATAGTGGGAGCCCAGAGTGGTTTTCTTTAATTCGGGCCGTGGTTGATGAAGTCACGATGCTTTTCCAACTGTTGTAAACGGTATGGTAAGAGACCACTTAAGGTTATGAAACTTGTTCTCTCTAAATTGAGGATATTTGATAATCCTATATATTCGACCGTTGTTGTGGACATCCGGTGGCAACACCACCATTGTAATATTGAGTTTCGACAATGCATGTTTGATATACTGTTTACTTCACATAAATTACACTATGAATATTGTTGTTATCTTTCTACTATCCTATTTTGTACAACTATTAGAGTTCCGTTTATAATCTCCTAGGCTACTATGTAATGAATTTAATAAATAAAAGCTTTAGGCTTTAAACTTATATATCTTCTTATTTGTGTGAAGTCTAATGATGTCCTACTCACTTTCTAATTGTTGTATTTTTAAAAATCCCCTGATTGTTTTTGCTTCTCAATTTTCGGTTCCTATATTTGGTAGTTATGCTTGGAAATGTACACTTATTATAGTTGAAGTCTAATGACTGACCTATTCAACTTGACTGCTGAATTTATTTGATCATCCCTATCATATTTAACACGTAAGCTATCAGATATATTAGTATTAAAATCACTAACATCGTTGTGACTCACCATACTGGCTATCATACATCTGCGTCTCTTATTTCATACCCAGACCCAAGCAGAATTGAATCTGACCTAAATTACGGTTTCCAACATTTACGTAAATTAATAATTCATCCAATCGTTAACTTCACACAGCCGATTAGTTTGGAATCAAGGTTTTCCAAATCCCCTATGTCGATCCTCTGTATCCATCAACCTGGTTAAAGTGCCGGACATTCACTTTTCATCCTCTCAATTTCGTAACCAACACCACGCGAAGCTAATGAGTAGGACTTCCCTGACAGTGGTTGTATATGTGTGGCTATGTGAGAGCATTTCGAGAGGGAGAGCTGACTTTCCCCACCCTTGACGACATGATGTTGAAGTATAAAAATAATGGTTTATCAAGTTTTCTTTCAACTAAGTGACTTAATTTCGAAAGTGTTTTTCTTTTTCAAACATCAACTTCAATTGTGAAAAGTCAATCAATCGTCTTAGACTTCATTGTTCCTTTGTTTCCACAGCAATCATTCTCTGTTCTCGTTCTCTTTTCTTCGATCTTTTTAACCTTCCACCATCAGGCATTTCACTTTCTATTGATGATACATACTACCTATATCTATCAACATCATTAGCACACACCACAAGACTAATTACATTATATCAGAACCAGGATTCACGGCCCAGTTTTGAGAACCAAATTAACACTAAGTAATACTTTATTCAACGCAATTACAAGCAGTCAAAGTCAGTGATTTCAGAGTAAAAATCAATGAAAGGGGTCACATGCTTGATAGTCCGTAGGTTGTGGCTGTTTGTCCAATCATATCTTACTTTCACTACCACCAATCACTTACTTCCCTACTTTTGGAACTGTCCTATGTCATGTTATTGTTTATATTTTTGTTGTAAAGCCATTAAATATTTTTAATTACTGTATTTTTTCATTGTCCTACTTGTAAGTATTTTCGCGATACATAAGCTATTATGTACTATACTTTTCTTAATTTACTGTTGATTTTTTACACACCTTTGACTCAATTCTCTTCCACTTCTTAGTTAGCCTGCTATTGTGGTCTCATAATTATGTTAATGCTTCGTCAACATTTTAGTCTACATTTGTTCTATGAATTGAGTCGTGTTGACTTATGTACTGAGAGGCTCTCTACCTTTTGTGTTATGCTCTATCGTGGCTGTTGGGCGAGCAGTTGCGGGAGAATCTCTCTCTAGACCAATAGTTTTTAAGTGTTATTCTCGTCTGTTGGCTGAAGATTATTGTTATTGAATCAATACTTAAACTGGATTAATACAACTGCTCTCCTGTAATTACATCTTAGTCTCACGAATCCCAAAATAACTCAAGATATTTGTTTCTTTTTGGTCACATCATTGGTGGATATTGTTTAGGTTCAATCTATACACTTTGAATTAAATCTGTTTGATTTCCTTTTTGACGTTTAATGTATTCAAATAAATGGACACTCGTATGCTCTTCATACGAAGTATTACTACTTAAATATCAAATGATTCTACCCTTTAACTCATACATATGTATTGGTTGTAGGACTATTGACTCAAACAGAAAAAAGCCATGTAAGCAAAGAACTTTAGTTAAATAATTCATTACAATTCACAACAGTTTATCTATAATGTTTTTCTGTGTGACGACATGTGATTTGTTCCATCTATTCTGTAATTTACACAAAATGAGAATTATTTCTCAATATTCAGTCAGTCAGTCAGTCAGTAACAACGTAGAACTTCGTACGTACGTACGTACGTACATCAGTTCGAGTAGCCATACCAAATTAGCACAAAGATGCAGTTGTCGATTAAAATCCCGTAGTGGCAAAGGTAGTAAAATTATAAGCAGTAATCGGGAAGATAAGGGTTTGAAGATGTTATTTAAAAAGTATAATACAGTGAAATAAATTTGGGAAGAGAAAAAGAGACAAGGAGGAATCAGGAGATTAGAATTTGGGAGAACACAAAGAGTGTGTGCACCTGCTCACACCATTGCAAACGATTTTGAGCCATATCTCTAACCATTGGTTGCTAGCATCTCGCGGTCCCCAACCAGGTAGTCTGCACCTAGCAACATGGCTCAGTCCACTTGTCAGTGACTTCATGAACTTGTGCCATGTTTTGGCCTGGCCACCCCTAGATTTCTTCCAACCTACTCCTACACCATAAAACATCGCACGTCGGGGCAGTCGGTAGTCGGGCATACGTGACAGGTGTCTCAGCCATCTCAACTGATGAAGTTCCACCAATTCATCAACTGATTTGCTATCCTTACCTATTACCCGTTTCCTAACAATGCATTACTCACTCGGTGGTCCCAGGATATACGAGCAATGCTTCGAAGACACCTATGATCGAATACTAGTAACCTACGAATATCCTCTATTCTTACCAGCCATGTTTCACTGCCATAAAGTAGGACGGAACGAACTGCTGCTCAGTAAACACGTCCTTTTATTGAAAGACGGATATCTCGCCTACGTCATAAATGATATTCCTCTCAATATTAGTTAATTTAGGTCTATCAATTACATAAGCTATACTAACACATACACATATACTATTTATTCTTCTCATGATTAATATCATTGTATAGATTTAATGTCATTTGTAGTTTTTTATATTTGTTCTTTTCGATAAATTTTCTTGTATTTATTAAAGAGTTTTACTCTATACCTTTCATCTTATTACTATTACTTATGCATGAATGCAATTTCTATTTCATTGATTCATATTGAAATTTATCTGTCTTCTTCATGTTTTATGCCCTCTTCTTCTTCTTCTTCCCCCTCTTTTTTCTTCCAACTCCCAGTGTATTTTGTTTGTCCTTGTTTATACTTAGATTTATATATGCTGTATTTACTGTACATATCGATACACACGTATAGAGAGAGAGAGAGAAGAAAGAGAATATAATTTGCCTAAAATGAACTATTTCAAATCTTTTGTTCTATTCTACTCAAATTATATACTAATCATACATACTCGTTCATAGTTACACATAAACTTATTTTATTCACGTGATGTGAAATTGTTAAGTTTTTGTTTTCCAGAAAAAAGAAGGTTAAAGATAGAGACACATCTTTGAGTTACATAGAAGCAACTACATAAGTTTCTTTCTTTTTTTTCTTTCTTATTTTCTACACTATAAAAAACAAACAAACAAAACAAAACAAAAAGTTGCTATTCAAAACCATTTTTTTTTCTATCAATTCAATGAATCTTATAGTATCTGTGTATGTTGTTCACTTTATTACGCAAGTTTATTGTGTGTGTGTGTGTATGTGTATGTACTTCCGTTTTACAATGTTCGTATTGATTGTTTCTATGTAAAGTATCTTACCTACTGAAAAATAAATGACATTATCAATAAGGGGATAAATAATAAAATGGGAGTTTTGAATTACTGTTTGTATATCTGTTATTACACGATGCTTTATTATTGGTGGTGGTGGTGGTTATTTTAGAGTATAACTTCCTATAACAGGTTTGTGTAGATTATTGAATTTCATAATTTCACATCATAATCTGATCTCAGTTCAACAATCATTGAAACACAAAGAATCGGTCGTATACTTTCATGGGGTATCATGATCAATGAGAGTTAAACTATTTCAGGTGCGAGTCAATCACCGTCAGTGGTTTTACCAAAAGATGGTTGAATATTATTACGAATTAGTTGAAGTTAGACATATAAGGGACCGTATACCAGCTCAATGATTGAAAGGTTAGGCTTTTGTTGAGAGAATGATGGGGGATTGTCGATGCCTATTGCTGGGACGAATCGGTCGACTATTGTTTCTAACTTCGGCTGATTCATGATATCAGTAACATTCAGTAATTTAAACAGACCTCTATACTGATCTTCATTATTATTGAATTTTTAATTCAGAAATGTAAAATAGTGGTATTGACCTTCATTTACTGTATGAAACACGAAGGCTTGGGCTTCACACTTATATTATAAAAAGCGGGGTTGTAGCAAATCTAAAACTCCAATCAAGCTACTGTCCAGCTCATGAGCTGTCTATTAGTCGTCTGTTCATAACATGAATTAACTTAAAGTCAAACCCCTCTAAGCAGGTCTGATCGGTCATAAAAGTTGTTTCGCACAACAAATCAATAAGCTATAGTGATCGAAGGCATTCTCGTCCATCTTCGGTCCCTTGGTTATGCTATTCTGGTTGTAGTTAACGGTCCGATTTACAACGCGTCAGTGAGATCATTTCGCTTTATGAAACTTGGTCTCTTTGAATTAAAGATGCTCTGTAGCTCTGTGTTCAACCGTTGTTGTCCTCGAAGGGTTATGAACATCCGGCGGCAACACCACCTTAGTAATCTTGAGATTTGATCATTTATGTCGGGCTCAGTGACATTAATTCGACTGATGTTACGATTATTTCCCAGCAATTCGAGTGAGAAAGCAAAGAGGTGGTCAGTTTATGACATGATGTCATGACATGAAAGGAAGCTATTTCAGCATTACCATCTGATGGTCTACAATAACTTGCCACTTTAAAGCCTAGGTTTCTTTCATTTCACTCGTTCGTGAAGTTGTCAGGTACAGTCCAGAATATTGGCCAGTACAGAACCTTATTTAATTTTCTATTACACTCTTCATAATAATCCGAGTAGCTGCAGTAATTGAAGGAAGTTTTCCTTAATTTTATTGTCATCTTCATTGTGTTTCCTGTTGTACTTTTCTTCATTATTTAATTCCTTTCCTTATTTGTGTGAAGTGGATTATTTTGGTACCAAGTTGTAGCAAATGTAATTAGATATTATTTGAAGTAATGAACTTTAATAATATAATTGGTTAGTTACAAAGTTAACATACTCATCGCAGTGCTTTTAATTGGACTTGTAACAAAGATTATGAGTAAATGTACTATTGACAATTTTGTACATAAGGCAAGACTTACGTTTTTTGACTGGTAACTACCCTGACTCACCACTATTTCTCGCTTTTATTTCAAAATTTGAGTGTGAACAGCACCCTTGAAGTTGAAAACCACTTTGTCAGTTCATCAGGTTTTTAACCTTTATCCACTAGAGACAATTCGGTTGACTTTTAATAACTCACATCACTTGTGATGTAAGCGCTATGTTCGTCTACCAACCAATGAACAAGTATACTGCATAATGATTTGTTCTGTTCTACTATATGATCATGAAACTCAGCCTTTAAAAATAGAGGATATTAATAAGTTGCTAGCATTTGATTATAGACCCATTTGAAGCACCACTTGCTTATGTTGGGGGACATCGAGTGAGCAATGGTAAGGTTAGATGAAAGGTCGCGAATCTCTATCGATTTTGATGGTTTAGACATATATTACCTGTGCCTTACCACCACCTACCTTGACATACAATGATGGCCTGTGTAGAAAAAGGCATCGATTTATGAAGTCATTAATTATTACTCTGGTTCACCTTGGTGGGTGGGGACTACTTAGTCGAGGTTCGCGTAATTACCGTGAATAAAGGTTAGAGACTGGGTAATATAGAGCGGATGCATTCACTCCTTGTTTTCTTTTATAATTTGAGTCCCTTTTACCATATTTAATTTCTTCTACCACTACTGACACTGTTACTACTTGTAGTACACTGACATTTGTCTTTCTTGTTCTGTTGTTGTCGTATGATCGATCCGTTGTTTTTTTTGACTAACTGGTTATTTTCACTCCTGACCAATTGTACAACAACTCCTTAGTTTAATTTCATTTAAAATCTAACCGGATGAAGTGGGAACTCAATTTCTTTTTGCTGAAGTATAAAGAAGTTGTTTTACACACTCTTCTAACAAATTTCCTGTATTATTATTATTATTATCACTACTATTATTTCAATAGGAAAGAAGAAACAATGTCAAAACCACATAAAGTATACGAAGTAAAACGTGTAAATGTCACATTAAATCATGATATATCAGGGAGCAAGAGTCCATTAAATAGTACTTTAAATACTCCAACTAAAAATGGTCCAAGTCCTCATACAACAAAGAATGTACCTAGTAAGTTTGTTCTATTTTCAAATTTTATTAAATTCGATACATGTTGCAATTTTTTTACAACAATTTATCAGAAGGGGGGTGTACAGATTTTAGTAATTTAATCGTTGAATTCATGAATCAATTGAAGGTAGATCACTACAGAAAACCTGGAAGAATTGGACGGGCGTTTCGTCCTTGTATGCGCATCCACGAGATTCGTACTCAACGATGTTGTCTGCAGTGAGTTACTATCTCACAACAGACCTGGTTGAACTTTAATTGTCACGGCTTCTCACTAGAACTTCAGGAAACACCTCTTGAAACCAGTCACTAGTGAGTGAATGATGATTATTATCAGAAGGGATTAGGGTGTCGGCTCATTGGTCTAGAGGTTTATGTATTAGTGCGGGGAACTCGTAGGTACTGGATTCGAATCTCACGAGATGGGATCGTGTATGCGCACTGCCGAGGAGTCCCATAATAGGAGGGACGGTCGTCCAGTGCTTTCATGTTTTCTAGCTTTAATTGACTCATGAACTCAATTATTAATCTACATTTTCCCCGGTTTCGAACAAACCATTGGCTATCTGAACTCAATAGCTTAGTAAATAACTCATTAGTGTATTTGAATTGTATTGTCAACATTAATACTAATATAGATCATTTTATATCATCCATCTGACGAGTGCTAAATATAAAAATACCCTATGCTCTAGATTCCACTGCTGATATCATCCACAATCTACATCTCTTATTTATTTAGATATTTTATTCAACTCTGTCTCTTCATCTCTTTGAATTTTTATTAGGTAATATTTACAGAAATCAATCATAACGTTTATTGATTTCCTTTTCTATCCTATATTACTTAATACATCTATAGCTAGATACATACATAGTGAGATGGATTGAATAGGAGGGAATGAAAGTATCTCCTTTTCATCTCTCTCTCCATTCCTCTTATTGCCTCTACTTCTAATGTCATCATTTTGTATGTCTCTCTCTAACTATAATCTAATTGGTTAGTTGAGTTTGTTCTGTTTTGAGAATTAGTAAATTATATATTATTGTTTGTCTTCTCGATATATATTGATCATCGTTTTATTCTGATATATATTGGTTACTATGAATGAATTATTAGTTTGATTTCAAGTTTGCCGGGTTTTTGTTGTTGTCAATGTATATGTTTATATTGATATGTATTACAGACTATTCTTCTAGATAAATGGTAATAGTTTTGAAAGTGAGCTAAATTTAATGAATTGCAAAGTTAGCTCCTAATTCAATCTGGCATGTAAAATTAATAGTTTTTCACGTCCGAATAACAATCTAAACAGTGTTAATCCATCTGTTGTTGACAGTTTGTAACTAAGAATTGAAATATGAAATGTTATGGAATTATATATATAGTTGGATTCATGAGTCCATTGAAGCTAGGCCATCATGGAAAACCTGTGAGCATTGGACGGCCGTTTCGTTCTAGTATGGGACTACTCAGCAGTGCTCATCCACAATCCCGCACCCCGCGAGATTCGTGGATTGGTTGAAGTTAGACATTAACACCATTGGATGCCGGCTCAGTGGTCTAGTTGGTTAAGCGCTTGTCGCGAGACTGATAGGTCCTGGGCTCGAATCTCGCGGGGTGCGGGATCGTGAATGAGCACTGCTGAAAAGTCTCATACTAGGACGAAACGGCTGTCCAGTGCTTACAGGTTTCCCATGGTGGTCTAGCTTCAATTGACTCATGATTTCAATCTGTGAAATTCCTAAAAATCTCCACATACCCCTTCTGATTAGTTTAATCATTAAAAATCAAATACTTTGACCACTAACTAGTCATTATCACTGTAATCGAAAGAAAAAAATTCCAAAGAAAGGTATTATCAATCGACTGACTAAATCCATTATTTATATATAAAAACATTCAATCTTATGATCGTATTGTCATGAACAAGATCATCGAATGTATTTGACACGAAATTACAGAGCATCTTACTAAAATATCAATTCATCGTCTCAAAACTTCACTGTTCCTTTAGCACATATCAGTCGATTGTCTCAGATTTCTTTGTTCTTTCCTTATCGATCTTCTACTGAAAATACATTCTATACCTGACCACCATTATGTACTACTTATGTGGATATAAGTAACCTGTACACCACAGTATAGTAATGAATTGATTGGAAATAAGTTAAAGAGAATGTAAATAAGTGCTTGAATATCATTAAATCACCATTCAATATTTAGTCATAATTATTGATATCATTCATTTACTATTCTTAACTAAGTTATTCATCATCTTATGGAATTATAAATATATGACCAGTGTCCAATTAATCTATACACTATCAATTGATGAACAAAAAAACCCTTTTTACTATAGTAACGAACTAATCAAACTCATGATAACTTATTTTTGATTTTGTTTACACATAATTCAAAGGCTTAATATCAACCAGCATTCAACTTTTATGAATGAGTTTTGTATATGTTATAACTTGTAGCCTGAGTGCCCTGTTAATGTATAACGTAATGATACTGTCAATTAGAGAGCAGTAAATTATCGACCGGACCAATGACGCATAAAACTCGTACGAGCAGTCTAGAGTCCTTATCGGTCCTTCTCAAAACACCAATCTCAGCCTCTGCGATACGAGTCATTTATTTCAAACATACTGAATTTATATAGCAACTAGACAGACCACATCGTACCAATAACATAGGAAACAACATTTATACATGATTTGGACAAATGTAGGAGGTAGTGATTAATAGACAGAGCATAATTCATAATGGTAAATCGTATAGTAACAGTTCATACGTCAAAATAAAGCTTATGAGAAGAGGGACATGAATATGAATAGTTCAGTTACATAACAATTATACGATAAAAATATACGCATAGCATTGGTCCATAAATGAATACCAATAGTTTCCATTCATTATGTTTATCGGGATATAACAGTATAAATAACGTATTTATTAGATTCTCTAATTTCTTTGGTTTGATAAAAAAAGTTTTTTGTTTCATTATACAGCAAATAAGAAATCAGTTCGAGCGCTAATGTGGTATGACAACTCGAACTGATGTACGTACGTATGAAGTTCTACATTGTTACTGACTGACTGAAATAGGAAATCAAGAAATAAGAGAATGATGGCTGAATGCTGAAAATATTCGCCGATAGATCAAGTACAGATTCAAACCTTTCTCTATCTATTTCGGTTTAGGGACTGAAATAGTATCAGTAGGCTCTCATACAAAACAATGTGGTTCAAAACTGACAATATTAACGTCTGTAATTGGTAAATTAGTATCAGATGTGTCAAAATTTATGATCTGCTAAAGGACCTCAGCGTAAATTAATCTAAATGAATAGTTTTTTTATCGGAATTTTCTGGCTTAAGGTATAGAAAATTTATAATTTACTTCGAAAAAGGTCGTTTACTGTGTAAAGTTATCATCTAATATAGAGGATAGAAGTAAAAAAAAACGAATTTTAGCGTTCCTTCAGATTCACTATGATGAACGCTTACTGAGAAACACAAATTGAGGGTTTATTTTGTGGTTTGCATAACATAACGTCTGGAAACTGGGGAAATCCATGTTCCGTGCTAGTATGGGATTCTTCATGAGTATACACCTACCACTCTCCCCGACATCGAGCCCAGAAGACTCTACACCTTGTAATTAGCGTTTAGACCAATGAGTGAGCATTCATCAGTCTAGATTTTCGCTACAGTAAATTCATGATATTATCATCTTATTATACATTGTCGTTGGTGATACTTGTCTCATCTCTGGTGTAGTGGACTTTCACTGGTTACAATTTTCTAACGAAATTCCAAGAAATACTTCTCAGCTAGTCACTAAAAGACGCTTGATTATTGTTGGCATGAAGATTTTTATGAAAATTTTTGTATTTCATAGTTTAGATCAAGGACTGATTCTAACTAGACATCATTTGAAAACTAGGAAGCGTTGAATAGCTTAGTTTAATTCATTAAATCAGTAACATAGTGATTTCACTCATTTTTTTGTTAACTGAGGGTTTTATACGAGGACTTATGATACTATCTGATTGCTCAAAAACCAATACGATTAGCATTGGTTTCTAAAGTACATCATTTTTTGGTCGCAGATAGATAGATAGATTGATTGATTCACTTATAGTAACCATTACTCCATTGATATTATATATGTTCAAATTTCATATTGATTTATCACTATTATTATTATTATTGTAGTTTTAGGACCATCTTGTAAAGCATTATTTGATTTTGAAGCAGAAAATGAATCGGAATTATCATTCTCTGAAGGTGATATAATTAGTTTAATATTACGTGTTGATGAAAATTGGTTTGAAGGTGAATTAAATGGTCGTAAAGGTTATTTTCCAGTGAATTATGTTGAAGTGATTAATCCATTACCATCATAGAAATTAATTGTTTTCTTACTTTTTGTCGTTGTGTATGTGTTAGTAGTAGTGTCTTATAAGCAGAAAATGTCAATATATCATGACATAAACATTATGATAATGAAAGATAGCCTAATATTTCCTCATATTCAACAAATTGTACACATATTACAACACTGATGATGATAATAATAATAACAGCAAAAGTACAAATACAAAGATATCTATCATTATTCGACCAATTATACTTATTTCTTATATTCAATATACTATAGCTATATATATAGATTAAAAGCATTCGTCAACTATACTAGTAAAGTTAACAACTTGGTGGAGACAAACATCATCATATATTATTGTTTATAATCTCTAATTTATTTATTATTTAACTCTATCACAGATATACAAATGACATGCAATAAAAGCCGGTAAATTATCATTTATTCTAATTATTATTATTATTATCGTTTTATTGCTTTATTCTTATACCTACCTACCTACCTACCTTATATTTCTTTTCACTTTTCTTTTATACATTACCATTTAAGACAATGGGTATTGTGTATTCAATGCACAGGATATTACTGTTATCATTATTATGAGTAGTAGTAGCAATAGTCTTGTCAATATCAATCTTCACAGGTGTCTCTATCTACTATCTGTCCATCTATCTATCTATGTAATAAATAATCAAACAAACACATATTCTACGCTTATATTTTATTCTTAATATGAAGGATATTATAGCATATTTCTTCTTTTTTACTTCTTGTCGTTGTTGTTGACAACTGACTTCATTGTTTAATTTTAAAATGAACCACTTTTTCCTCTTTTAGAAATTCTATTCAACCAATATATATATATACATATGCATATATTGTTCAAATTGATCAATATATGGTTCTTATTATTTGTCAAAGAGGAATTATGATTCTATATTATTCTATTATAAAGATCATAATTACATAATTTTTAAAAAAAAAAACCCCAATTCTTCATATGATCCACATTTATATATATATTTGTTTATTTTGATAATATCTATGCTTGTTTATTTCTGTTTGTATGTGTGTGTGTATGTATGAATATTACTCTTTTTCTCTCTCGTAACATTCCATTTGGTTTCCCTCTCACTCCTTTGGTCCTTCATCTTGTTTCCTAATTCATTTTAATTTTAATGACCAAATGTAATAAATGAATAATAATAATAATAATAAAATTATTCTTGTTCATTTCTTTCAATAATCAATTTCTCATTTGCTTAATTTTACTCTTGTTAATCATAATCATAATAATGATGATAATAAAAACAGTAAGTATAATACTATTTGACAGATATTAAGTAAGTGTTTATTTACATAATGATTATTAAAATTATTTTCAATTCCCATAATCCGTTTTTTGAAAGAAAAAAAAATTCTTTTTGAATCTTATAAATTAAAGAAAAAAAAGTAAGTCGATTTTGTAAGGTTGATAATCTGAGAATGTGTCTAATATTGAAATATTGCTGGCATGTGCTGGGATCACCGGGTAAGTAATAGTGAGGTTAGACGTCAGGGTATTAAGGACTGATGATGGTAAATCAGTTGATGAGGTTGTGAATCTTAATCAACTGAGATGGTTGGGCCATGTGTTGTGTATGTCTGAACACTGATTACCATAACGTGCAATGCTAACCGGTGTTCGGGATGGTTGGAAGAAACTTAGGGGCGGCCAAACCAAAACGTGGCATCAGTGCTTGAAGTCACTAACTTCTAGTCTGAGGTATATTGGTAGATGCAGACTACTTGGTTGGGGTCTGCGTGACTATCTTAACCAATGGTTGGAGACTCTGTGTGACATGGCTCATAATCGATAACAATGGTGTAAGTGCATACACTCCCTCTCCTCCGTTAAACTAAGAGATTAAAATCACTTCATATCTTTCTTTCTACGAACTAATTCTTTCTTCCTGTACTATATCCTTATATACAATCTTTCTTTTATATAATTCCACCTCTAAAGTAACTACTTTTATGAATCCGGTGTTCATCTTGTTGTGTTAATGAGGTCTGGCAACTTGGACCGATGCATGTATGTGCCTGGTCCTACGTTGTAGGTGAATGACTGACTGACTGACATCTAATATTATTTATGATTATATAAACCTTTCAAAATATGACGTTTTGTATGAATTCGATAATCAATGAACTATGATATGGACCCCAAATGCCTTATTACGACCGAGAGGAGAGTCAGCTCTCTCTCGCGAAATACACTCTCACGTGGCAACATGCATACAATCCTACTCACTGCCTTTCATGAGGCGGGGGTGTTGATTACAAAATTGAGAAGACGAAAAGTGAATGTTTAGCGCTTTAACCGGTTTGACGGACACAGAAAGTCCACCTAATGGAGTTGGAAAACACTGATTTCAAACCAATGGTGCATATGGGCTCCAGGATCCTGAGGAAACAAATGGCATATGAACTTAATGTCGGTCACCAGCTACCATTGAACTGCATCTTTTGATGTTGCTCCACTACCTTATGGTTTAGACCTTTAGGTCAAAGGCTCCGAGCATGGTCCGCTTAGAAAATCACCTGCTTCGGTTCGGGTACGCGGGCAGCATACCAGCCCTCACACAAATCGAATGATTTATGTGTGGCGCATATCCATTTGGTGCCTTCTTGTACCAATCTTAATGTGTTCAAACAAATAAATAACTACAGGCGTTCATGGAGGGAGATATTTCAAAAGGTAATTTTGTAGTTCTAATGAGAAACAGACCAATCGAGTTCACGCATGTTCGAATGTTTGGTAGTTAATCTCCAAGTATATTGGAATGTAGTTTTCTCGATTTTACGAATTGATTAAAGTTAAACACATAGACTATTGGGTATCGACTCAGTAGTTTAAAGGTTATGCGTTCGTACGCGAGACCAATAGTCGTGGGTAGTAGCAAGGTCTTTGATGCGTACAGCTGAACAGTCCTAGTGTTTTTTGTTTACTTAACCAAGATCGTTCCGTGATGTTAATCATCATATAAATCCTTATTGATGTACATATGGGTTGACTATAAACCATATTTAATATTATTGCTTTTCAAACATTTGAAATCCAATGTGTTGTATGAAGTAACTGATGGCAACCGCCATAGGTAGTAGTGCACTAATCATCGAAATGTTTTCCGATTATATTTTGATAAGAAAAAAAATTAGTCTTATATGTGTTGTCTTTTTCCCCTCTCAGTTATCACGTGACGAAATCGTCGATCAGAATACCGACCTGCATTACCTTGTTCCTGTGCTAAACCAATGTCGAGTCAACCAACACTAGCAGCCTTGCGTCAACTCTGAATTCTTATCGGTCCTCAAAATAGTAACTTCTCGCCTAGCCGTGCCCGTTTAGTCCAGAACATAGTCTCAGCTTCTATTGTATGAACAATATATTTCAGACATACATAGTTTATATACAAGCAAACCAGATCGCAACACACCATAAAACTAAAAATTTTCAATTATACAAGATCAAGCCAAAAGTGGCTGAGTGTGAGCGATTGTAACTTAAGAATGGTAAATCGTATGAGTAGCTAGTAGGTCAAATGAAATAGTTCCTTGAAGTTACTCATAAATTAATCTTCGAATAAAACAAAATTCTATACTTTTTGTTATAAATACATATTTAACAGGAAACCGTGACAGGATTTTTCATAGGAGTCTATAACTGGTTTCTAGAACCCAAACTGAGGAGTTGTGATAAACCGACAGAACCCCAGTCTTACACAGCTATCTTATGTACCTTGGCGCTGTCGTAAACTGACTACCTATCTACTTTTTCCAACTAATCTTAGCGTCGACAAATAATACATGATGTGAAATTCTCTGGGACAAAATTTGTTGTGCATGTTAAATTACCAAGTTAGTGTCTTGAGGTATTGAACTATTGTCACTGAGCCGAAACACGCTGCTGGTTCTTAGCACTAACTAAGCAGCATTGCCACGGGATATAAGAAAGTAAGAGCCTGCTTCTAGCGAGTTAGTATTTCACAGATCTGCTAAATAGGACAGTAGTGATTAATGTGGAAGTAATAATTAAGAAATTTATACTCATTATTGTTGGATAAATCGTCTTGATTGTTTTAACTAAGTTAATGCAGCTCTTACGATCAGTATCGCCTCATTTCAAGTAGAGAGATCCATACTTAGTAGGTGAGTTAGTATTATGAACTTAAAGTCTAACACTGTATGCTGAATGGCAATTATAGAGCTGTTAGTCACATATAATTAGGATTTATTGTCTCACAAGAAAGCAATGTAATCAACTTTAAATATTTATTTAAATTAATCCCCTAGTGTTGTTGCTCAGATTGATAGCAGTCAGTCAATCATACACAACGTAGAACTTGATATATATGTGCATCCATTTAAGTCGCCGTACCACATTTGTACAGCAAGATAAAATTATTTTAAGACAATTCACATAGTATTAGGAGTAGTAGCGATGCCATAATTAGTGGAAAAGACTAGGATTGGCGCACATTCCAACTACAAATACGTACTCAACCAACGTTGAGCCATAAATTCTCACTGGGAGCATATTTTTGTTTCTAATTTCAAGAGCATCACGACAAGACACGATTACTGATAATTGAGAAAGTATGCGATTTCCATCACGGCTGACATTTGATAGACAAAGACTGGGAACGATAAACGTTTAGATAGCTATCTTATTCGGAATCGCGACTTCATATCACTATGCATCTTAAGTATGCGGACATATAGCAAATTGACCAAAGTTAGATCATCTATGACTTATAGAATTTTACACAGTAGTTCGGTGTCATGATTCGTGAGATATCTGAACGTCAAGGATTTGATCTGATAAGACGAGGGTTGGTTGCTAAATGGTTTTAAACTAAGGAGAGTTCACTCTTGCCTTTTAGTTCTTAGAGTTCACGATGAACATTACTTTTCAAACTAAATGTAAGAAACAATTTTATCACATGGATATTAAGGAAGAAAGCGTGCTGTTTTAATGGTACGTATTATAATTTTATTGGCAATATTAAAACAATAGATATATACAATATAATACATATATACAGACTAATCATTATTATTATGACGGACAGATTATTTTAGTTACATTTTTATCTGTTTGGACTATAACACATTCTTCTACCCAATCATCTGCTGTTTGTGACCAACATGAATCTCGACAAGTAAATATTAATACTGTGACAATATTTAATAACCAACTAACATTTACTCCATCGTAATCTTCGTTTAATAAAGTTGATAATTTAAGAGAATTATTGATTGTAGAGAAAAGTTGTAGTTCAAATACTCGTTCTGAACCGCATCGATGACAAGTTGAATAATTTGCTAAATCACTTGGAGGAAGGCCATTGAAAATAGGTTGGCCAGACCAACAATAACGAATATCTTCACATCCATACTCTCCTCTGTTGGCAATGTAAGATAATAATTCATCGCTAAAAGCTTCAGGGCCAGTATTATCGTCTTCTTCAATAAACTCTTTATCAATTAGGGCTTTTTCTGACCATTTTGATAGGAAGTGTTTAATTGATGGTGAACTGGATTTGATTTCAATATCGTCATCATCATGGTTGGTTGTGTCTATTTCAGGTTCTGCAGTATGACTACTACCAGTGGTAGTAATAGTAGTATCTTCGTAGATATCAACTGAATAACATTGAAAGCGACCAATAAGAGAAGACGATTGTTCATTTAAATTTTCAACTTTACATTGAATCTAAAGTGGAGATATTGAAAATAATTAATGTTTGTTCATGGGAGTGATGATACTCTTAATTTATTCTAACTGGTTAGTATAATTCTCTCGAATAATTAATCAGATATTACATACCGACAAGTTTCATTCACTTTTGAATTAAAATGTAACTGCTTTGAACTACGGTTCATAAATAAACAGGTTTGCTAAACTCACAAATAACAAAATTTGGTTCAGTAATCTTAGTGATAAAGGCAAATACTATCAAATAGGAAACTGTTTAATTAGCGACCACTCATGTTTTACTGGAACAATAAATTCATATTTTATTTAACACAGATCGCTAGTTCCAACGTAGATGTGTTGAAGATAGGAGTGATTAGAAAAAAGGTGCCAAACCACACTAACTTATTCCCATAAGTGAATCACCTCCCCCCAAACGCCCTGGTACGGCTGAGAGTGGAGAGAGTCCGCTCTCCCTTTCGAAATGCTCTCACATGGTCACGCCTATAAAGCCTCTGCCAGGGAAGTCCTACTCACTGACTTCTCGTGGTAGGGGTGTTGTTTACGAAAATGAGAGGACGAAAAGCGAATGTCCGGCGCTTTAACCGGATTCCAAATCAATGGTGCACATGTGCTCCAGTATCCTGCGGGAACAAATGGCGTATGAACCAATTGTTAGTCACCAGTTGGCTACTATCGGACTGCATCTCTTTACGATGCTCCACTGCCTTGTGGATCAGACCTTCATGTCGAAGGCTCGGGGAGTGGCCCACTAAGAAAACCACCTGCTTCGGTTTGGGCACCCTGGTAGTATCACAGCCCTCACACGTACCGAATGAGATTTGTATGGCGTATATATATTTGGTACCTCCTTGTACCAATATCTATGTGTTAAAATAAAATAATCACAAAGTAATAGTATTGAACTAGATATATAACAAAAATTACTACTCCAGTGTCCGACATTCAAAGGTCTAAGCACCATCATTTTTATGAAGTGATGGCATTCAAGTGGAATACAAAAGATATCAGTGTTCAACGTACTTCTGAACTTTTATCAGCATCTTGACCCCAACTTTCTCCATCAGAACTATCATTTTCATATTCAGCACACCAATTTGTGCATGGTTTCGATTGAGAATTCTGATCGGATTTTATAGAGTATTGTGAACGCAAGACCTTCCAGTTGTTTCCACTGGATTGACAAGGACCATTTATGCATACAAAAATATAAAGTGCTCTGTGATATTTTGAATCGCCAATCGGGCAATATAACTGCATAATAAAGTCCATAGTTTTACGGCAAACCATGCATTGTATTTTGTCTACAGGTGGTGGTTTCACATTTGGAAAGGTGATGAGATTTCCCCCAAAAAAGCTTTCAGAATAGTTTAAAATATGTCCAGGGGTTTGAGAGTTAATATAACCCACCAGTGCCATCTAAATACTCAAAGTAGTTTGAGAAAAAACAAATAGTACAATCTGAAAAAAGACAATAATGAAATGTTGTGTACTGTGATTAGGGCATTCTGGTGATGATGACCACATTGCAACACAAAGAAACAAAAAATCGTTTCGAATAGATGACCCGAAAAACATAAAACAATTTAAAATAGACATTATGACTTGGAAATCAAAAAGCATCACTAATTTATGGGGGAATGCTCCAAGTTTCTAACTAATTAAGTCGATGATCTCACAGACTAGACGCGTATAATAATAACGACCTAGTCTTATAAACTGGACCTTATATTCTATTTTATTGTATTTTATTCCTATCAATCCGTAGTTGAGTCAAAGTGAATCTGAGTTATTTGTTCGATCCGTTTCCTACCGTTCAGACAGTCATGTTATTCATTGCCAAGCAGTCATTCCACTTATTTCATATCATGTGATAGGAACCCACTTATAATTGATTTTTTATGACACTGAATCTTATTTAAAAGTGCAACCTGACGAATCGTCCTCTATATATCAGTCAGCTACAATGTAGGACCAGGCACACACATGCACCAGTTCAGGTCAACATACCTCATTAGCACAAGATAAGCACCGAATACATGGAATTACTTACTTCAGTGGTTGTAATATATAAAAGAAAGACTGTGCATAAGGATGTAATACAGGAAGAAAGACTAATTTCGTAAAAAGAAAAGTATAAGGCAATTTTACTTTCGAGTTTTAAGGAAAGAAAGAGTGTATTTTTTCATATGTATTTACGTATTACATTACAAGCGGTTGTAATAAACACTCTGATATACAGCTTCCTATTCCATAATGAGCCTATTACATTTCGGGTTCAGTTTCGAGAATCGGTTTGTTCGATTGTACAATATAGGAATAGTGAGAGAAACGACGCAACGGATGAGTTAACAAAAGGGATACGGGTAAAAAAGCCCAGGCTAACAAAAATGAGGAAGTAGAGAACAGTAGAAACGTCTTCCTAGAGAGAAAATATTTCGAAATTTAACCCAAGTAGCCCAATTCCCGACTAAATATGCTGGCTAATTTTCTTCAGGTTTACGTAAACGATGATCATACTTACAACCTACAGCAGGGACATGTTATTAGCACTGATTTTTTGACAGTATGACTAACACGTGTTTGTAATTGTACAGACTAGAAATTAACAGAATAAATGCAAACAATATCAAAAACTATTCACAAAGTAAGTTTGTCATGGGCATGACATTTATTTTTTGATTTTCACAGTCTGTACATTTACCACACACGTATCAATTGATATGTACGGTCATACTTCCAGATCAAGCCCAGTGGGGGAAAAAAGGTCACCTTGGTGAAGAAAAGGCTACAAATTTATTAATTTCTGTGTGCTAATTACATACACACAAAAGAGCCTTACGTCATTTGCACGCTGAAACGTAACGTATGTTTTGATAACCGCGGAATCTTGTATTGCACATGAATCACGAAACAAATACGTTTGATAAGCCAAGGGAAATGAGTTCATTTCATTATACTCCAATCTCGTTGTCGCAGTACGGTAGTGTCCAATAATGTGACTGAAGCTGTTCAAATGAACAGGTCATACGGAGTTCGACATTCCCGAATTCCCTATTTCGGGGGAATTTTGTGAAAAACCCAAAAGTGTTATGAGATTCTGGAGAAATATTGAGGAGGATCCTAAATTTACTCAAAGATTCTGAGGGCTACGATCGGACCTGTGGAATTTTTGGGTTTTTTCGCCTTTTCCCAAAATTTCTCCAAAACACAAAACTGTAGTGACTCATATTTATCATGAGAACACGACTGGTTTAATAAAAACAATTATTATTATAACCAATTGTACCAGTGCTTGTTTTAATGTGCTTTTGTTTGACTGTGCTAATGACAGCTATATTGTGCTTCCATTCTTATTCTCACACTTTGATTGTAACTTCGGGCGAATTCGGTTACGAGATGGTGGAGAAGATTTGTAGCTCAGGTGGATGATTTTGGTGGAGTTTTGTTCTCTGAGCTGGATGGTTTGGTCGTGGAGCTTTCATCGATCAGAAGAACGATGAAAGCTCCACGACCAAAGCATCCAGCTCGGAGAACAAAACTCCACCGAATTCGGTTACGTTCTGTAACCAAGCTTCTATCCTGGCACGATCTCGGTATCTTTTCGATGCCAGGAGATCGCCAGGAAATAAACCTCGACCTGGTCCATTAATTGCCTTCTGTTACTTGGCTTCTCGGGGATTTTATGGAGTCATTTAACACGAGCTTCTTGGTAGCGGTGTTCATAGTCCATATCCACTCGATACCACGCTACAAAACTTCCTCAGAAATAGGGAGATTGGGTTTCTTGAATATATGTCGGTCATAGATGACAGGTACATTCAGACGACTTGTCCAAAATTAGACAAAGAGTGAGTGCTGAAGTTCATTGTTAGTTCTGTTCTATTTGTCCAGTTGATGTTGGATAATTCTGGGAGTTACTAGACTTCACTGGGCTCCTCCTGATTTCTTACGTATCTCTGCAGAAACTTTAACACAGTTCGAAGAGTAAATTTAGGAGTTTGAATAAATGTAGATATATATACTCATGAAAAGCACCGGTTTTAGCATACCTTGCTGACTCCGAAAGAAATGTAGAATGAGCCAGGAAATGTTTCTCAAACATAGTTTCTGATTCATTCACAGTTTTCCAATTCGCAACTCAATAAGTTTGAGTAATGCATAGTAGCTATACTAAGTTCGACTCAGCGAAAGTTCATGGTAATATCTTTTCAATTTCAAAACCTTATGAAATCATTGAACAGTACGAAACATTTTCCAAATTATCTTTTAAGCTGAACTCATGGACTCTTCAGGTGAATAATCACCGGACGTTAAATTTTTTATCGCAATCACAATCTTATACATGGACAATACTCTAGACGTCTTACACATCACAACTATATTAGACGCAACTTACAGTGACGTTTGTAAATAGTATGTAGCTGAATGTGGTGTCGGAGAAACAAAAATTGTGGGGCCTTTCAATGCATCAGGGGCATGACATTGACAGAACACATGATGACCCAAAGAGAAGACAGTTCAGATGGTAAAAAACACTGAGAGATGTAAATGAACGTTTGACGTTTATGCATATGTACTACGTAGATAATTTTAACTTCTCACAATAAATATAAATTCATCCTGCTCCTTGTCGTGTTTTAAACAGCGTCTGACTATAGAACCATTTTTCAAAATTTTCAATTCGTATGTACGCCTATTTATTTCTTCAGTAGGTTTATATTCATTGAAATGGAAAGCGAATGTACAATGAAGAAATTGCTAGATCTGGATGCTTGTTTGAATCTTACATTTTCTTCTGTGTCCGACAAACTTCTGTTTCCTAGTATGCTTACATTCTCATTAGAATGTTTCAGTGCAAGTCTCATAATTTCTACAGCCTGTTTTAGATGGGGTAACAGTGGCTAGTGAAACGACTTCTCAAAACCCTGGTTCTGCTACTCTTTACGACGACAGAAACTATTGTTAAACTGCTACCGTAAAATGGAACAAAGACCTATATTGTTGGGCTAAAGTAGTAGTGACCCTAAACGAAGAGTTTATGGTACACTAACCAGAAATTCATAACTGTTCAGACAATATTGATGTTTCCAACAAAGTATATTCCATTATAAGTATAGATCTAGCAGGAGTTGGTGCTAATTATTTAAATATTCGATGCGTTTAGATAATTTTAAGCACCAATAATGCAAGTGCTTTATCCGAGAAATATAACAAGTCAATGATTCGTTTGTTTGTTTTCTACTGGTTAGCTTACAATAACTGTTGTGTGTGGTAATAGTAAATCTGAAGTACGAATTGTGATACTATAAACGTAGTCATCCTACTGTCTTCTGATTTCATCCTGGAGGTGAGGGATCTAAAATTTTATTATCTATTGACATTATTGAAGATGTAGGCAAAACATTTTTGATGGTGAATTAGTGATATAGTTGGTATATGAAGCAATCTTATATCCAGTGTTTTAATCTGTCCTAACAAAACAACTTAATTTTACCCGGTTTCAATTTATTCCTCACAAATAAGGGTAGTGGGTTGTTTGACCTGCATTAATCCTCGTAGCTAGTTTTCTAGTAAGGACGCAGGTTCTCCTTGTAAGTGCTCCAAGATGACGTTGATCTAACCAGTTAGGTGAGGCGCTTTATTCGTTGATCACTCGATGCAAAACGAAGTGTATTTTACCGCAATTTTTGAGCCTTTTTACAGTGGCTTTGTAGATAATTAGTTTTAACGAGATAAAAACGACCAGACTTGTTGTCACTAAAATCATCATTTGGCTATCTAATTCTCCATATAAGATGATCTTGTAGAATTATGGTCTAAGTGGTCATTAGTATTGCGATGATAATAGAACCAAACCTAAAATTGTAGATTTGTCATGATGTGAAAATATAATCCATAATGTCTTACGTGGAAATCACATCACTGCTTATTCGAACTCGTCATCTCATAACAATTAGCAACATAATGTTCGGCGTTTCTAAAGGACACATACAATCTGGAGATAGGGCAATAAATTCAATATGAATAAAAAGATAAGTTACACAAGAATGGCCACACCTGCAATGCTAAGCCATGCCATCCGACTGAAACGATCATTCCCGCCTTTACTGTTGTTGGCCATCTATTCGTGTTCAATTTTGGATGTCTATCTTTCCACTTGTTTCACATTTAGCTTTGAGAATTGTGTGGTTGTGGCCAATACAACCACAGTCCCATTTTGCGTTGAGATAAGAGGATAATATCAAGTGGTTTTAATCGCTCATCGTACAAGTGTTCATAAGCACCTGTTACTAAGGTTGTTTATACACGTTGAATACGAAAATAGTGTGAAACGCTCTCAGTAAGATATGAGCAAGATGTTTGGATGTAGTGTTCTAGGCGAAGTGTCATGTAAATGGAATAAGAAGCCTGAAACTTGTATTCGCCAATGCATCCGAATATGTATATGTTCTTAGGTGGAGACAAAACCTCCAAAACCAATACTATTCGTCTTTAGGGCAAACAGGTGATTGAAGGACAGTATAGGATTTAGTTAATGTTACAGTGAACCGCAACTGCTGAATGTTCTTCTACTACACAGTAATAATTTTTTAAAATGTACAAAAAATGCTTAACACATAATTGATAAGTTTTGATTTGACTTGTACCGGTAAATAAATTCGCAAAATAAATAGCTTTGTAAGTCTTCGATATCGGATGCTGACCACATTGGTTTTAATGGACTCACCTTGCTGAAGGTGCTCGCTAATACATTCGCACCAAACTACGAGTGGGAACACCGCGATCAACTTCCCCTGCGATCGGCCGCCAGTCTAGATCAATTGATTTTCGATAATTTGACTGCCTATTAAATGTACCATCGAACCTCCCCGCTTCTGACTTTTGATTTCATCAGGTGGGTACGATTCATATTGGAAGGTTTTTTCGGTCAAAAGGTTGTCAAACTACAAATACCTGTGGTATCTTCAGACTATTTCGACTTTTCTAACTCAGCAACGGCCCGTTTAACCAGAAGGTTAAACGTTTCTTTGTAATAAATAGATAAGTAAAATATTGCTGCAATTTTATTAAATGTGAATAATAATTTAAGGTTCCTAGTGAATCTTCATTGTTCTGCTAAACATATAAAGTATTTTAAAGCAATTATTTCAAATTGATTTTGTTTGATATACAAGCACATACAAATGGTGGTGAGACTATGATTTCTGAACGAACCAGTCATGTATAAAATAACAGGCCTGGGATTTTGGCGCAAAATTCATTCTTCCATTTGGCTAAATGTAGTTTTAACCTCATAGCTGATGTTAGTTCGTGATGAAAACCTTAAATCTAATCTCTGACCCCAACTATCAACTGTAAATATTAATCCAAATTCCTCGCATCGGTTTATAGCCGTAGTATGTCAGTGAACATTCTCAAAGTTTTTTAGCGTCGCTCAAACGTCTCATCCAAATGGTTTATAAAATTGTCAAGATAAAACTGTTTCATCCTCTTTTTTCCATTTAAATAAAGTTTTTCTCCCTAACTTAGTGTTTATAAGTAAGTGCAGTCTGTTTTGTTTTAATGAATGAAAAAAGGTTATACAGTAAAAACAACGTTAATTGACTTTCGAATATGATAATATAAAAAAACTGTTGATGTCCGCCATTGTTTACAGAGATGGTGGACAAAGCAATTTACACTTCATTTTGATCGGTTGCTAAGTAGACTGCCGACATCATGAAATCGTGTTGAGTTTAAGTGAGGTCATTGTTTGTTTAAATAAGTTCAGTTCCCTTTATTTTTGCTCTTGTTATTGAGAAAAAATAACCTTTCAGGGAAATAATAACTTTTTAATATTTTTATGAAAGAAATCAACCCATTATAAGTAAAGATGGATAGT